TTACATTCCCCTCCCTTCCTCCTGTGGTAAATTTTTACTATAAATTTTAACATCAATTTATATGTAAGCAAAAATGAAACTATAATGTGCATGTTTTTTTCCTGTGATCTTTGCTTCTTGTTCTCAACATTGTTTGAGATTCATCCATGTTGAAGTTCGTACTTATGGTTCAATCATTTTCACTTATGTTAATGTGTACTACTTATCCATTCCCTTATGAACAAGGGATGGTGCTTTCAATGCTCTTATTTAATTCTCCTAGTATGCGTCTCTTGTTATGCCTTACATAGGTACATACGTGTGAGACTTTATCTAGGTTTTATAATGACCAAATTGTGTCATAGTGACTGTATATATTCAATTTTACTAGATAATACAAAATTGTTGTTGGGTGCGTTGGCTCAAGCCTATAATCTCAGCACTTTGGGAGCCAAGGTGAGAAGATTGCCTGAGTCCAGGCGTTTGAGACCAACCTGGGCAACTTGGTGATACCTCATCTCTACAATAAATCAAAAATTAGCCAGGTGTGGAGATGTGTGCCTGTAGTTCCAGCTACTTGGAAGGCGGAGGTGGAAGGATCACCTGAGCCCAGCAGGTCGAGGCTGCTACCGTGAGCCTGCCACTGCACTCCAGCCTCGGCGGCAGAGTGAGACTCCAGTTCAAAAAAAAAAATTGTTTTCCAAAGTCATTACACTACTTTTTAATGAGAGATCTTGTGCTCTATAGCCTGATAATACTTGTCTGACTTTTAAATATTTGTCCATCTGGTGGCCGATTGATGCATTCTTTATAAAAGTTTTGCCAGGCCTGGAGCATGACACCAGAGATGAGCTTCCTGTTCATCTCATCCACCAGACCTTTCTTGACAGCTTCTCTTTTGTCCTTGAAGTTTACTTTCATGCTGTCCATCCAAAGCATCACTGCATCTCATCTGCTTTAGCTCTCAGAATTATTAATGTTCATATGCTACCATCTGCTTATTTTCACGTGTCTTTAGTTTTGATTTTCTCTAATAACTAGCTCAACACATAAATAATTACATGACACTGCACCTGGTCTGTGCTCTTAGAGCCTTTGTGAGGATGGTGAGGGCCAATAGGGTTGTAAACAAATACTGTACATGAGAAATTAAAGTGCTAAGAAGGAAATTACGGGTGCTGAGATGGCGAGTAATATGGAAATGAACTTTAGCTGGCGTCTCAGTCAGTTTTCTGCTGCTGTAACACAATGGACTGGGTGATTTATAAGGCACAGAAGTTTATTTGGCTTGCTGTTCTAGAGACTGAAAAGTCCTAGAGCATGGGGCCCGCATCTGGTGAGGATCGTCCAGTGGTGGAAGGCAGAAATAAGAGCGTGAGACGGAGGAAATTCAGCCAAACTCATCCCTTTATCAGGAGCTGGTTTCCACAATGACTGACTCACTCCTGAGATAACAGCATCAATTCATGTGGCAGAGCTGTGGCCCTCCTCTTCCTTTGACTTGTGAGCAATGGGCTGACGAAGTTGAAGAAATTTTAAAAGGTGAAGGTGGAGTTTCCTCTGGAATAGGTTTGGGACTCTGATACAACTTATGTGCAAGTGTTATGAATACAGATATAAAGGGAACCCATAATAAACTCTGAAGAATGTTTATTAAGAAGAGAACATGATTCAAACCCATTGTAACATTTCACTCCACGGGTTCATTCTCTGTAACAAAGCAATGTCCATGTCCTAGCAGGCGACCCACAGAAATGGCATTTTGTTCCTCCGGGTTCGGTAAACTCTTTGTAGTGAATGCTTTTTGTGATGCCTGAGTTTTTTTTCTAACAGCCATTTGTCCTTAGAAATGAATTGTGTTTTGAACTGGAGATGAATGCAAAAAAGCCAGGCTATTACAGCAACTCTGAATGACCAGTGTTGCCTTTCTAATAAAATTCAACATTTACTGTCCTCAGGGAACTCACACTGAGGAGATGGAAACACTGGACAGCTAACTAATGCGGTCTTATCTCACTGAAGGCAGAAGCTTAGGGATTCTTTTTTTTTTTTTCCTTTTGCAGTACATAATTTATTTACCCACTGAATTCTGAAACAGGCTTTTCTTTTTGTGCTTTTCTACAGTATTTTATTTTACAAAGGGTATACACCTTTGGAATAGGGACAGTCGGACACTGCACTCACAAGAGATTCATTCATGAAAAGTTTAAGTGTAAGAAATGAAATATTAGTAGTCTAATCCTTTGGTTCATCTTTTTTTAAAAAAAATCAACTGATGTAATTTATAAATTGTTGGTAATTCATCTTTTTGGTTAAAAACAAATCCACCATGTAGATCACTGATTAAAATGCAACATTGCTTTCAAAGTACCACATTCCTGGTCTCATCTCACCGCCCAAGGATACCACTGTTTACAACTGGTTGGACGTGATGACACAGGATACAGTAAGGCACAAGTGGATGGTACAAATTGAAACAAATACTTAAGGACTTGCTTGTTTTTCTGCACAAATACTAAAATACATACCGTTTTTCAAGATAAAATAACACAAAAGAAATACATTTTTAATGAAATACCTATACAAAGTTTTAAAATTTACACCATCTGAGCTGCCAAAATAGATTTTTTAAAGTATTCATTTTTCCCCATACATAAAATTCTCTCTCATCAGTAGGTCCCAGAGAACTTGGGTTCAAATGTCCCAGCACTTTGTGGAAGGGAGGAGGACAAACATTCCCCTTCCTGCTCTCCCTTACCCCAACATAAGACAAAAACAAAGGTCCGATGTTTACAGTAGTGTATTCTACATGTTACAAACAACTGCAATTAAAAAAAGAAATCATGCCGGGAGACCATGGGTGTGAGTGAGAGTAAGGCACTTCCTGGGAGAGAGCAGCGTCCCACACTCCACAGGAGATGATGCACAGGTGCTGGTCACACAAGGGTCACAGGGCTCCTCAGAAGCAGACAGGAACGTCTCGACAGCAGAGGAAGACACGGGAGGTAAAACTCGAGGCGCACTTCTACACAGATGTGGTCACTCGGTCAAGAGTGTGATTAAGCTCGTTTTTGTTGGAATCCAGTCCTTTAGCAGCATTCATGTCATTCTGTAAATTTTCCACTGTCTTTTTCATGCTCCTTAACTCCCCTGGGTGTGGGGTGGCTTGTCTTAGAAGTGTCCTCATTTCATTGTCGTCTTCATCTTTTTCATCTTCCAAAAATCGAATGGCACTGACTCTGTGGACTGCACGCTCATTCCAGGCTTCATCGGCGACATCACTGACCAAGCTCTCCGGCGTGCTACAGCGAGACAGATTCTCTTGGTATGTGGGTTTAGAAGGCAGCTGAGGAAGTAAGACACAGGTTAAAATCTTCTCTCCTGTGCTGTGGTCTGTGTCTGTCTGGAATGTCAGCAGAGGCTGCGACTGGTTATCAGACATCCACAGTGCCTTTAACTTCAAGGCAGTCAGGGACAAAGGCAGATGCAGCAACCGGTTCCCTGCCACATCTAGGACGTGAAGCTCTGTCGCCTGTGACACTTCTGCAGGTATCCGAGTTAGTCTGTTGTAACGCACGCAAAACACAGTCAGGCTGCAGCATCCGCCAATCTCTTTTGGTAAAGATGCTAATTGATTTCTGTCTGCATTCAAGTTGCTCAGCTTCTTTAGTTTTCCAATACTCTTGGGTAAAGTCAAGAGCCAGTTTTTCTGTGAGAACTAGCTCAGTGAGACTTCACAATCCCCAACTGCTCAGGCAACTGTGTGAGTCTGTTCTGATCAAGCTTCAAGATTGACAGTTTCTTTAGTTTTCCAATGCCATCTGGAATCATTTCTAATAAGTCTGGGAAATGACTAAATCTATTAATGAAGTCAGGCCACTGATTTCTTCAGGAAGTCTTTCCAACCTGTTTTCAGAGACATCTATGCACAGCAGGTTCTTCAGATTTCCTATTTCCTGAGGTAATTCGGACAGTTGGTTTCCATGCAACCAGAGATTCTTCAGAGGTAAGAGCGCTCCAATTGATTTTGGCAAATTATATATTTTATCGTTTCCTAAATCAAGTTCTAGTCTCCGTAGGTGAGTAAGAGAGTCAGGAAGATATGTAAGAAGATTCTCTCTCAATTCCAGTGAGACCAGGTTATAAAGACTGCCAATATTCTCAGGCAGAGACTGCAGTGAGGTGTCATTTACAGAAAGACACGTTAAATTCTGTAATTCAGGAAAGCTTTCTGGCAACCTCGTCAGCGGGTTTCCGCTGAAGTCAGCTACCTGCAGTGCTTTACAGAACGAGATGCTTTCTGGAATTTCAGAAATATAATTTCGAGACACATCTAGTTCCACCAGCTGCATGAAGTTTGCTATTTCTGGATGGAGCCGCCAAATTTTATTATCACTAAGTCCAAGCTTTCGTAATTTGACTAGCTGGAAGAATTGCTCGGGCAGCTGGCGGAGCTGGTTGGCGTCCAGCAGCAGCTCCTCCAGGCTGCGGGAGTCGCGGTAGATCTTCTTGGGCACGCAGACCAGCGAGCAGTGGCTCTTGTCGACGGTCTCCACGTGACGGTTGCCCCGCCACGGGGGGAGGCAGTGGAACATCGCCGCCCGCGCCGCCGCCGAGCCGGTCCGAGCTCCGGAGACCCGGGCTGCGAGCTCTGCTCCGCTCGGCGGCCCCGCTCCGCCCGCACCCCGCCGCGCCTGTCGTTGGCTCCCGGCCTCGCCGGCTCCTCGCGCCGGGCTTCGCGGGCGGAAACGCTCGGAGAAACCCTGGG